ACTCGCATCCGAACATCGCGAATGCTCGACTCGACGAGCGGTTATATAAAGCTTTAAGTATTTGCATTTCTTTAAATTGTATCAATGTTCGGTGCCGACTTTCGGTTTCAGTCGAACGCCTAGTGAATGTATCTAATAGATTACTAATTTCACTTTATGCGTGCCTGTAACTTAGTTCGCCGAGTGTGGTGTGATTTGTGTTAGCGTGCAAATATTTTAAAGAGTTTTTTAACTCTGTCTATATTTCTTCGGTTGCGTTTCAGAGAAATCCGTAGGTAAACTCACTTTCGTTGCGGTTAACCAACTTGACTCACTAATGGCTTATTAAGTCCAAATAGATCGGATTCAACGTACTTTTTTACCAACCCATCTGCCGGGGAGCGTAACAAATTGAATGTAATTATTGGCAGCGGCATAATAAAAACTCAAATAAAAATAACTTGGGCTTGGAATAAAAACAATTCTGCCACCGCATTGCTTCGCATATATTGCTGCGGTTTAACGCCTGCAAATTATGCTGAAAGGTTTCATTTTCAATAAAAATATATGATTATTTGGTGTGAACCACACTTTGAGCTTGGCCCAAACCATTTGTTTACTTTCTTCTGGCTTGCTCTTAGTGTGTGTGTATCATTGTTTTAACAATCTATTTTATTTGGTTTGTTTTGTTTCGAGAATCTACAAGCGGTAAGCACGCAAAGCAAAAGACTAATTGGGATTCTAATGTGTACTAGAGCGCGCAGAGATTCCCATCTGGCATGCGCTAATAATTCAAGGTAGGCGGGGAGGGTCTTTAAGAACTTTATGAAGGCAGCTGGCTGGTTCCACTAAACCGCAGGAAATTTCACTTTTACCCACTGAGCTAAATGCACATGGACATGCATCGCATTTCCCTGGCAAACAGGTTTCCGTTTTTTTCGGTTGATAAGTGCAACCGGCTAGCCAGCTGTTGGCTCTTGTTCGTTGGTCACTGAGTCGTCTGAAACTGGGTCAAATATTTGCATTTCAGTTCAATTGGAGTGGGAATATTTGGCTTCCTGCTGTTACCAACTCACTTGTCAAGATGTTCCAACAGCAATTAACACGCACAGTCACTTAAACCAACACTCGCCATCACCATTGACTCATAATTCTTGGGCGCAATTTGTTGTTGCGTACATGGCGTGACGTCTAATTAGCAAGATATTTTGTTATTTGTCCGCTAGTCACTTTCGCTCTCGGTTTTCACAAGAAGAAATTTTGGTGGATTTGGTTGCCAGAATCCGCGGCGTCTTTCACTTTTTACAGTTGCCAATAAAAAACAGCCAGAGAGGCGCGATAAACGTGGAAGACCGGCGAGCGTGTAAGACCAACTGAACGGAGGTGCCGTCGCGCAAAAGATGCGGCCAACTTTGGGTGTTGGTAGGTGAGTTTAATCGTACGGATACAGATACAGATACAGATACAAACCAGTACTCTGAAACAGTGAGAGAGATGGAGAAAAAGTAAGCACCTTTTCCCGCCTGAAAGTATGCGACAGTTTGTTGTCTGTCCCAAGAAATGATAGCAATAAAAAATACCCTTGACTTACTAAATTTTACCCTTTACAAGGAAAATATTTATCAGAATAACCACATTGTATTAAGTGTATATAAAAAGCTTTACAAAAATTGAATTTTAAAAAGATTAAACTTAAACAAACTTGCGTGAGAAAATACAACATTTTTAGAATATATTTAATGTGTTAAAAGATTTAAAATGTCATAACACTATTGAATTTACTTTACATTTTTTATATTTTAACCGTTATTCATTCATACTACCCTTTTTGACCTTAAATAAATTAAAAAAATCTGAAACATAAAATAAAATTGTATAAAAACACAACAAATTTTTAAATATATCAATGTGCTCGAATATTTGAATTGTCGTTAAACTATTGAATATCCCTTAAATTTGTTCTTTTCTTGCCTATATTAACTAAAAAAAATATCCAAATAAGAAATTTTTTAACTACAAAAAAGGGTATTTATAAAATTTTATCCCATCTAATAACTTTTCTAAATTAGAATATTCCTTACAGACCTACTCGTCGATTCCATCATTAGTACTACCGGTGTCGAGATCAAACGACTTCCGATTAAACTCATTCCGAATAAGCGGTCCTATGCTTTAAACTCAAATAGATCCTTGAATATTTTAAAGATGTCCTTGGTTCTAAATAAATAAACAAACAAAAAACCAAAGTTCCAATGTCTTGTTAACGCATTTATAACTATTCCCAAAAAGTATAGTGTGGTGTGTATAACAAATAATTTTATTAACAATTTAAATATCAAGAAGTAAGCTCTTTAAATTATAAATATAAATTGGACGTGATGGATTATTATCATGTCAAATTTGAGAAGGTAACTTTCTCCATAAGAGTTTTACCTGCAGTTATCGGACTGAAGTATGACTCCTCTGCTTCATAAATTTCTTCTATTGGATTGCTGTTTCAGTTGTCTCATTATTCGCATTGGCTTCGATGGATTTTACTTCACTCTCACCTTGACTACTGCTATTTATGATTAATCTTGTGGGCTCAGTTATAGCTGTAACTGGAGCTCCAGTTGTTGAGGTAGTTGTAGTTGTCGTTGTTTTTCGCCATTTTCCCCTCCATTTTTTTTGACCACTTTGGTTTGCCGGTTGTATCTGATTTTTTGATATCTTCTGCAATTCAGATCCGATGTCTAGTTGAATGGAGCTTGTAAGAAGTTTTTTCGACATCATCTCATTGAAACCCATTGCAAGTTGGTCCTCCACTTTGTCTTTGGACGGTCTGCCCATCAGATGCATCTGCTGGTTTATCATGAAGGGAACGGGATACGGAATATAGACTGGCACGGGGTAGAAAAAAGGTTGAGCAGCTACTGAATCCATCGGTCCATGGGGAACGGTTATTGGAGAACTCTCCCACATTCCTGGCATCAGCAATAAGTCCTGCATTGAAAGTTTGTGTTTTTGACCATGATTAAGAGCGGGTCTTTGCTTTTGAGGAGGTTGTGTTTTTTTAGTCGGTTTTTCTGAAGAAGTTTGTGGAGGAACAGTTGTTGCTGCATCGGGTGTTAGTGTGGTTTCAATATCCTGTTCCGATTTAATTGCCTCCCCAAAGGCTGGCTTTGCGATGAGATTTGAAAGCAAAATCAGTGGAGTTTTTGCATCATCTCCACTGGCTTTAAGCAATGCTAAAGGTTGCCCATTTTGCAATTGGCCAAAAGTTGGTCTTGTTATGCATACGAAAAAGACTACAACTGTAAAAAAGAAATACTTTATTATTTAAATAGCATTGCTTTAATTTTCTACATACTACTATAAAGTAACTTCATGGCGTTGTTGAATAAACTAAACTTCTTTACACCGATTTAGCTTTTTATATGGCCGATTTTGATTGAAAGTAGGTTTCAGGCTAATCAATTCTTAATAAATTTGCTAATTAGTTTTATTTTTTCTGGCACTTTTTTATGTGATGTTTGCTTTCTAGAGAATAAATGCAAGATAAGAAAATACAGATAAAAAAAAGTAGGGTCTTATTTTATGTTAAAGAAAAAGTAGGGATAAACGTTTTAGGAGCGGCAGAGAGTCAGAATATGATATATAACATCTGTTTTAATCAGAATATTATCTGAAAGGCTCATGCAAGTCATAGTTAAATCTACAAAGATTTAATATCAGGGAAAAAAAATACGACGAAAAAAACGCAAGTTAAGTTTAAATTTAGTTTAATAGCACACTTCACTTTTTTATTGCTTTTAATTTGTACATTTAAAGCTACAATAAATAAAGTTAAAATACTTGAAATTATTTATATAGCTTAAAAAACGAAGAGCTTGTTAAACCATTTGACTCTTACAGGTTCGTTTAATGCAGTATTTTTATAAGTTGTTATGGATTTCGTTTTCCTCGCAATTTCTGCAAAAACTTGTTAAGACTTAACTGATTTGGAGACTTTTTATCATCTATTCTTGAGGTGTCCAGAATTTGATTTGCGTGGTTTACTTTATTGACCTGGAGTGTGATTTGGTCATCCGTTTTTGGGCTTAATGAACTATACAAATGCTGTTCGGCAGAGTTTAGCATTAAGGAAAATGGAAAATAAATGTTAAATGGCAAGGAAACAAGTGGTAGATGCGGTTGCAATGCAACTGAACTCTCCACATTCCAGGTAATGACAAAAATTGAGATTGCAAATAATTCTGAAGCGGATGTCTTGAACTTGGTGTCAATGTTTTTTGTGTGGTGCGGTTATCTTCACTATCGTTTGATGCTTGAGTAAAAGCCATTCCCGGCAAACACATAATGCAAATAAGATATGCAGCTAGGAAGTAAAAATAGTCACATTCGGAAATTAATCAAAAAGCCTTTTCTTAAACTTACCATAATTAAGGAACAACATTGTGTCGAGAAATTTTCTACTAATCGTCTGATAAGCTAAGCTTTATATACCACAAAGTAAACTAGAATTCGAAAGCTGGTCAGTGGTATAATCATTTCTTAATTACTGCGCTAATTGATAGTAGCGAAGGCTTACGTTGTATATTTTGTATCTCGATATTAAAGAAAAAGGTTGTCATAAAATGCTTACTGTTAAAATTTGCACAGACTAGAATTTTTAATACTACTAAACGATTTGTGCCACCTCTAGTACTTGTTTTTGCTCCCTGAAGTCAAAACGGAATGTTGATATTTTCTTTTTTCACTCACAATTAAAGTCATTAAATTGAATATTCGGGTTTTAATTGAAGCTCTCACCGGCGATCCACATATATTCTAAAAAAGTGGAGTATTTTGCCGCTTAGCCTGAATTAATTTATTTTCATAAAGTATGCACAACAATCAAACCAAGCTAACTATGTTCTTTAAGTTTCAATCTGGTCTACATATTCCCAAAAATATGAATTCGGTTAACAATATGAGACAAAAACACTTTTTTTGAACAAAGCATTCGACTTAAGAATTTTTTCGTGCTTTTATTTTATCTTTTACGCTTTTGGTGTTGTTATAGTAGTCGGAATTGCTGTGGAAGTCGTTGGAAATTCTGTAGTTGTTGTTATAAAAGTTGGAAGTGCTGTGGATGTTGTTGGAGCTTGTGTTGCTGTTGTTGTAGTAGTCGGAATCGCATCGGATGTTGTTGAAGCTTGTGTTATTGTTGTTGTAGTAGTTGGAATTGTTGTTGTGGTTGTCGGAATTGCATCAGATGTTGTTGGTGCTTGTATTGTTGTTGTTGTGGTTGTCGGAATTGCATCGGAGGTTGTTGGAGCTTGAGTTGTGGTTGTTGTAGTGGTTGGAATCGCATCAGATGTTGTTGGTGCTTGTGTAATTGTTGTCGTGGTGGTCGGGATTGCGTCGGATGTTGTTGGCGACTGTGTTGTTGTTGTTGTTGTAGTAGTCGGGATTTATCGGATGTTGTTGGAGATTGTGTTGTTGTGGTTGTCGGAATTGCATCGGATGTTGTTGGGGCCTTTGTTGTTGTTGTTGTAGTAGTTGGAATAGCATCGGATGTTGTTGGAGCTTGTGTTATTGTTGTTGTAGTAGTTGGAACTGCATCGGATGTTGTTGGAGCTTGTGTTGTTGTCGTTGTAGTAGTTGGAATCGCATCAGATGTTGTTGGAGCTTGTGTTGTTGTTGTTGTAGTAGTCGGGATTGCATCGGATGTTGTTGGAGATTGTGTTGTTGTGGTTGTCGGAATTGCATCGGATGTTGTTGGGGATTGTGTTATTGTTGTTGTAGTAGTTGGAATTGCATCAGATGTTGTTGGTGCTTGTGTTGTTGTTATTGTCGGAATTGCATCGGAGGTTGTTGGAGCTTGAGTTGTGGTTGTTGTAGTAGTTGGAATTGCATCAGACGTTGTTGGTGCTTGTGTTGTTGTTGTTGTGGTTGACGGAATCGCATCAGATGTTGTTGGTGCTTGTGTTGTTGTTGTGGTTGTCGGAATTGCATCGGAGGTTGTTGGAGCTTGAGTTGTGGTTGTTGTAGTAGTTGGAATCGCATCTGATGTTGTTGGTGCTTGTGTAATTGTCGTGGTAGTCGGGATTGCGTCGGATGTTGTTGGCGACTGTGTTGTTGTTGTTGTAGTAGTCGGGATTGCATCGGATGTTGTTGGAGCTTGTGTTATTGTTGTTGTAGTAGTTGGTATTGCATCAGATGTTGTTGGAGCTTGTGTGGTTGTTGTTGTAGTAGTTGTAATCGCATCGGATGTTGTTGGAGCTTGTGTTGTTGTTGTTGTAGTAGTCGGGATTGCATCGGAGGTTGTTGGGGATTGTGTTATTGTTGTTGTAGTAGTTGGAATTGCATCAGATGTTGTTGGTGCTTGTGTTGTTGTTGTTGTGGTTGTCGGAATTGCATCGGAGGTTGTTGGAACTTGAGTTGTTGTTGTTGTAGTAGTTGGAATCGCATCAGATGTTGTTGGTGCTTGTGTAGTTGTTGTCGTGGTAGTCGGGATTGCGTCGGATGTTGTTGGAGATTTTGTTGTAGTAGTTGATGTCATTGGAGTAGATGGGTCACGTGTTGTAGTTGTGGTTGATTTTCGTCGCCATTTTCCCCAGAATCTTTTTAGGGCGAAGTCGGGAGAAGGCTCATCATAATCTTCATATGTAGAGTCCTTGCCCTCAGTCCTCATTTCATTGATTCTTTTTTCTATTTGGTCTTCTAACTCTCCTGTCAGGGGTCTGATTTTTTTGTTAACTTGTTGATTGCCGTAGCTTAGCTTGATGGGAATCGGAACTTGGAATTCAAATATGTGTCCTACTGCTGGTTGATTGCCGGTAGGGGCTGTCTGCAGAGTCAAGGAATGATGATTCTCCTCCTGGCAGATACTTATGCTTGTTAGGCAATTAGGAAGGTAAAAGTTATACAAATAATATTTTTTAGTAACGAAGCCATGGTGATGCCAAATCAACTGATGTGCTCTTGATAGACTTCGCTTTTTATATAGACAAACTCGTTCGAATTAGAAAGTGTGTCATTGGTAAAACTCAATGTATTATTATTCTGCTAATTGGAAGGTTTTTGGAACGTAGCAAAACTTTTTATTAAATTCTTTATTTGCCTAGATAGTGGCAAATAAATCGTTCTGTTACAAATAAGATTGTGTGTATAAATAGTTTTGAGTTAATTATGTTTTGCTAATCCATTAATTCTTTATTTGCCTAGGTGGTGTCAAAGGATCGTATATTTTTATTTAGAGATTAGAAATTGAAGATTTTCAATTATTAACATGATATAATTGTGAATATTTGAGATATCTTTTACGAAATAAATCGATATATGTTTTGAGGACAAGAACCATGTAATAGGAACTATCGCACTTGTAAGTAGATTTATAGATTGCTTAATTATGTAAAGCTTTAGTTAGCATGTCATCTGATAACGCTGGTTTCTGTTTCGCGATTTTCTTATGGAAAATATTCCATGATATAAACTAAATGAAAGATTTTACTGCTGAATTTTTTTAATTTTGTTTCCGTTTTTAAAGTAAAATAAATAAATAAATTATGAGATTATGTTACACATGTGTGCTCAGGCCTAGAATTATTGGATTTGGTTGGCTGACTGATCCACTTTGAGTGACCTGGCATAGCCTCCATACCCGAAACCACTGGCGGTGCCACCACCACCTCCCCCAGCGGCAAAGTGGGCACTATGTCCATGACCTCCATCCTCGTGGGTCACGGAATGCGAGTGGCTGGAGGTGTAAATGGGCTTGGCCACAATCTCGTAGGTGGTGGACTTTCCGCCACCGGCCAAGCTCTTGAGTCCCAAAACTCCAGACAGAGTCAAGGCCATCAGAGCTGTCATCAGAGCCTTTCCGGCCATCAGAGCGATGGCCCCAAGGCCCATGGCCATAAGCATGCCCTTCATCATCACTCCGGCAGCCACCAGGGCCTCCAATCCTCCTTTCTTTCCAAATTTGTGCTTGCGCCCCTCCTGCAGGGACTTGTCATCCAGCAGGCGAAACCGAAGAAAGCGCGTTTTCAGTAGATTCTCCAGCTTGGCGACTATGTAGCCATTCAAACGAGTGCTGGGATCACTGGGATAGCTGCGAGCCACTTCTGCAAAAATAGAATTCGCTAAGAGTGTTAAGTACAACTTGATGCACGGGATTGAAAGCATAATTTTTCTTAACTATAAGTAAATAAGCATTTCAACATGAATGTCTATCGTAATTATGTTTTTGTTTTATACAGCATACTTGACAAATATATTTCATAGCACCATGATATTTTCATATAGCTTACATATTTGTTTGTCTGTTAAACCTACCTGCCATTAGTTCCGATGTCTTTAGTTCCGTGGCATTGTCATCCTTAACCACGCTGATGCCGGGCAAAACGTTCAGTTCCTCCTGTTCGGCTAGCTTTTCCATGATCTTGACAAACTCGATCTTGAGGCACATCCAACTGAACGAAGACGCCTCACAGCCATTTAGAAGGCCCTCCGCCTTTTGGGGTTTTCTCAGGGTTGCCGTTGCAACTGCAGGCGCTTCCGTGGATTGCACGCTCGCTGCCTGTGCGTATTTGCACATGAAGGCGAAAAGGGCCAAATAAAACAGATATTCCAGAGTTTTGGTGACCAACATCTTCGCTATCTACTGCCTTGGGGAATGTTTGTGAGACTGCATCATCTCAATTTTATGGCTTTGGCTTTTATACCCGCTGCCACCAGAGCCACTGCCACTGCCTCTGCTACTGCCACTGCCATTGCCACTGCCACTGCCATGCCCATTTCCCTTTCACCAAAGCCGTACTCCGCACTACGGACCGTAGTGCTTTTCTAATTAACCAAACGTTTTGTGGTCGAAATTCTTCCCAGCGTCAGTCAGCTGCGTCCAACTGGGCGGCACTTTCGCTTTCCTCTGCGGCAGCAGCCAGTTCAGTCTTGCGAAACGGCCGGCTAATTCTGTCACCAAAAAGTTCCAGCCAATGAATTCCCCAATGGGGCCCCCAGAAGAAAACTCTCCCAGACTCGGGCATCCAGGTAATTAAGAGTGCTAGATAAAAGTCGCGTGCCTCGGACCTCCATAAATTAAGAGTCAACATTTTGCCTGCCTAACTGGGACTAACTAACAATTCATTGTTAATTATTACTACATTTTCATTTGTGTCTGGCCTAGCCTCGTTTCGCTACTTTCTTTGCTCGTTGTGCCCATGAGGTAATATATCTTTTCATGCCGAGTCTTGACTGTTTAATATTCAGATTACATGCAGTGCTAATGACCAATTTGTTTGTCGGTCTTTGATTTTCGCTCGTCGCCAGCCTTCTGCTTGAACTGTAAAGCAATAGAACGCTTTAATTAATTAATATTCTTACTTGAACTATATGCTAGTCAAAATTGCTTAAATACAAATTAGAATTGGAACTGTCTTGCTATTTTTTAATTTGAGGAACAAACCTGTTACATTTTAATTTAATATATTATTATTAAATCAGAAACTAAAATGGATTCCAAACTTTAAGATGGCATACTCATATAATCTGTTCCAAATTTTTATAACCTATAATTTCAGTCAGAAGTTTGCAACGCAGGGAAAGAGACATTTCCGACCCTATAAAGTATATATACTCTTGATCAGCATCACTAGGAGAGTCGATCTAGCCGTGTACGTCTGTCCGTCTCAGTTTTTATCTTTCTGTTGCAGGTAGTATATAAGTGGAGCCGGATCGGACGACTTTAGCATATAGCTTCCATGGGGACAATCGAAAAAATATATGAAAAAAATATAACTTTGTTGTTTTTTAATTTATTTTTTTTTCGAGATGTAGTGATATTAATATTTAAGAAACTCGGTTTAAATTTCACTTAAATCGGACAACTACATCAAATAGCTCCAATGGGAACAATAGGAATGTTAAAAAAATAAATTTAAACAAAATTTAACTTTAAAAAAATTTTTTGTTGAAATGATTATAAATGGTTTAAATTTAATTCAAATCGGAAAACCATATATAGCTGCTATAGGAAAGATAGAATAATTGAGCTGAAAATCATTATGGCTTCAATGTTTTTAAACATATCAAAGTTTAAGTGTTTTCAAGAATATTTAAGCAATAGCTGCAAGGGTATACAAGCTTCGACTTACCGAAGTTTGTTTCCTCTCTTGTTTTCTTTTATTTTTAAGTAATTACAATGTTTTTTGTTAAAAATAAATCAAAGTAGTTCGATTTGAATAAATATTTATATAAAGTCGACGGAAATCATCTATGTGATGGTGGGTATTGCCCCTTTGGGCTCCTATTTTCCGGCTGGACGTCTTGTTGTAGTGGTCGTGGTCGTGGTAGTAGTTGTCGTAGTTGTAGACTTCTTATGTCTGAACTTTTCACCGAATCTTTCGAAAAATCCAGTTCCATTGTTGTCGAAAGGCGGGAAGCGTAGTTGTCCCAGGTCTTCCTTGGTGTCCTCCACCACCGGGGCTGCTTCAATGCTCACACCCTCATCTTTGGCTGGAAGTGTCTTCTTTTCATCGTCGACAGGAAGTGTCCAGGCCAAGGAGACCAAAAGGCCAACAATAAGGGCGATTTTAATCTGACAACCGATGAGTTTGTTGCTTGAGCTGTTCATTTTGGATCTGTTGACTTTTGGGCAGCTCGATTGTCAGTTTTATACCAACGGCAAGTGGGGCATTTGATTAAAAAGCAATTAGGAACTTCACGCAAAGAAAGCCAGTGGTCCTAAGCCCAGTCAATAAAATTTGCTAATATAATTAAGCCGTGATATGTTTTCACTGAGTTTGCTTTTGCAAAAGATTTAATGAAAGTGTTTGAGAAAGAAATTATGGGACAAACTGATTCCAACTTTAGGTTGCTTGTGATTTTTATATTTATTTATAAGTGTTACTATATATGTATATTGTCTTTGCTGATTTCGGTTGTGCTTGCAGTCATAAATGGTTGCCATCCGTTTATATTTTTTAATGTCTGACTTTAGATATCTTTTGCCCCATTTACATCACGTTTTATTAGATTCCCGGTCGAGACAAAAAAGGTAGAAGAGATTTTGGATTTGCATTTGATGAATCATTTTTATTCAATTGCTTTAAGTTATCAGAATAAATACTTAGTAAGTAAGCTCTTTAGCAGGCATAATCTTCGTTGTTTTCGATGAACCTGAGTGACATTTACAACCGCCAAGAGACATGTGGATTGTGGAAATGTGCAATAAATATGGCGCAATCATGATTGACTTTAGTATCCTTAAGCATTGTCCTTGAGCTAGCCAAGAGTCGTGGGACCGTTTCAATAGTTCTCTTTTTTTTGTGACTTTCTTTTTTTTTTTGGTATGTCGCAGCTAACTAACTAAATGTACCTAAATAATTATTGACTACGAATTAGGCCATTCTTCAGGGAAGTCTTAGGAGGACAGGTGGAGGAAGTGAGGAAAGTGAAGAAGGGTGAAGAAGGGTGAAGCTTTGGTAGGGTAAGATATAGCAGGTGAAAGATTGAGGCTAGTGCAGCGTGTGAGGTTTTATAATCGCTTGGTGATTTGGTGATTTCCGGCTTAGAAGGGCTGAGCCAGGCCATAGTGGTTGTAGGCCAGATCGGCGGCTCCAGCCTGACCATTGCGGCTCCAGTCGGAGTGCACGATGTCGGCGTTCAGAGGGCTGCCGGTGATGTAGGCAGTGGTGATGTGTTCCTTCTTCTTGGCCAGCAGATCCTTGAAGAAGGTGGCACCTGCGGGGAAAGCCGGCTTAAAAAGTGCCCCACCTGAGCTCCACTTTAGACAAACTCACCAGCCAGAATGAGGGCCAGGAAGGAGATGGCCAGAGCCTTCAGCGAGATGAACTTGATGATGGTGAACATAATCTTGACAACGATGGCCTTCTTCAGCTTCAGGGCCAAAAGAAGGGGCACCAGCATCTTCTTCATGCGCTTGCTGCGGGATTCTGTTTTTTTTTTTTTTTTTTTTTTCGGGGAGACAGCAAAGTGAAAGCGGGAATTAAGCAACGCTCCTAAAAGTATTCATTGCCTTTCAGTAAAGTGAAAGCTTTCACTTTGCCTTTGGCCAGCGCAACAAAGTATGCCAGTAGTTTTGCCCTGGCATTTGGCTTTGTACATAGTCCAGTGGACTTTACTGTAAAAGTATTACTTTGGCCTTCTGCAAGTGAGCTTCAAGTGCTTATAAGGCGAAAATTATGTATTTGTGCCCTTAAGGTTTTAAATTCACTCATACGTACTGTTGCCGCTGCTTCTATATTAATTTATTAGCCATCTAATTTGAGTTTATTTCAATTACTTTGAATTTAAAATACTAGGTTTCAAATTTGATTCTTAAACGGAAGCTTGGTATTTTTAATTTTTAATAAGCCTACAAATGTACTTAGTAGTAGCTCACCATAAAATAAATTATTGGACTGTAAATCAGGCCATTTACGTATTTTTAAAATATAGATATAACCGTATTAGTTTTTTTTTTTAAATTAATAAAATCTGACTTTTTTAAGTAGTATTGTAATAATCATAAGATTTACGCAAAAATGCTGTTTTTAATTCCCGCGGAAACGAAGTGCCTATATACTTCTTAGTATCAGACAATTTTAAATGACATATTTACGTTAAAACTTTTTTTAAAAAACCTTTATAAAAACAAACTATTTTCAGTGACCAATTTAAAGTGATCATGATTTATACCCAAAAATGTTGTTCTTGATTTCCTGGGGAAACGCTAGATCACTCACCCTCCATGGCGCGTCCGGTGTACTCGTTGTCGGCATTCTCCTCCTGCTCATCGCCGGAGAAGGAGAGGTTCAGCTCGTGGGTCTCCAGGTAGCGTTCGGCGCGGTCCTCGAAGGACTCGACGGCCTTGGCGGCCCCAAAGCTGCGGCCCGTCTCCGACCGGTCGATCCTCAGGCCGCCGAAGAGCGCAACGGACTCCTCGCCGTCCAGACGGTTCAGCATGTTGACCAGGTCCCGCTCGGTGTTGTCCTGCGAGGGCAGGGCCAGGGAACCGCTCACAAGGCTGGCCAGCAGCACTACACATACGAATTTCGCGCACATTTTGAGCTGGTTAATTTTTGGTGGGTAATTTAATAATCCTTTGGTCGGCTGCCTGGAGCTGGTGAGTGCTGCCTTTGTGAACGGGAATCGCTTTGTGATTAATTGAATGCACTGCCCCCGCGTTTTATACCATTTCGATTCGCCGTCGATTGACCAATTTTGTGGCTAGAAATCGCGCGTCAGGCCAAAACGCACCGAGCGGCGGCACTGCAATAACAATAACAATATCGAAAAACCAAAACCAAAATCCAAAAACAAAAACAAATTATGCAAAGCATATGCGTATACTACCTGCCCGGCCATTTCTTGACCATATTTCCACGCACGTCGCGATGTCAACGAAAGGGAAGTGGCTGGTGGCCAGTGGCCGCCTGGCTGGCAATCGGCCGGTTGAATATGATTTTTGTATATATTTTTTATATAAGCGAGTGGCCCGATTTCGGGTGTCCGCCGTTAGCCGGCACCCAATTGGCATTCAGTGGTGCCGCGGACGACGTGTTCGGCTTGCCTGTGCCAGATTCTTGGTTGGCTGTTCCTCCCCTGCCGTCGGAGCGGCGAAGATTAGTGGTGGATCTGCGAGAGCCACCCGTATTTGGTATGCCCCGGCGGTGGTGACTTAATGCACCATTTGGCCCACTTAGCTGCTCTGGCGCTTTCAACGCTTTCGATTTCGTTCTCCCTTTGTCGCTCGCTCGCTCGTTGGCTCGTTTTCTATTTCAATTGCTTCTAAATCTGCCCCCCTCCCCCAAAAGAAAGCTGAATTGTAGCACATCGGCGCATATATCTCTTTTCAATCGCAAAGTGACACTTTTATGAGCATAAGTAGAAAGTTTCTGGCAAACAATTAACATGCCAAGCGGCCGTCACATGCCCACTAGAAACTCCAATTATGAGCAGGGCCACAAACTTGCCAAAAACTAATTCTTCAGCTTATCAGGGCTTCTTTGTAATTTTTTTTTTTTTTCACTTGCTGTCCAGCAAACAGAACCTGCCACAAGTTTTAATTGCCAGTCAGAAAAACTTGTTGCCTTGCCGCCCAGTGAGTTAAGTGAGTAAAGTTCCACATATTTGTTTTTGGGGTCTGTCAGCATTTCAATTAAGCCCTGGGAAAGTCTATGCCCACAGGTAAACACGTGCGTGGATTTACGTGGATTTTTGTTTCGGTTGCAATACTCTTGGTTTTATTCAAACATTCGACTTGACTGTGTGTGCGTTGTGCGGCAATAAATTAGTTAATTACATTTCGAATAAATTACTACGGACTAAAGGTTTCAAAACGAAGGCACATCGGTGGCATCTCCTGGCCAATTTCCCAGCTCACTGCTGCTGCTGGCCGGCATAGGCCAACTGCTGGGCCTCCGACTCATCGGCACCGATGCTGCGGGCATAGGGATAGGATGAGGCGGCTCCGGAACTCCAGCCGGCACTGGCCGGTGCGGACCAGGCGTTCGAGCTGTAGCCTCCGCCGATGGAGTTGCCGCCGAACTTGTTGCCGAACCCGCCCAGCAGACGGGAGCCGCCGACGAGGATGGCCAGGAAGAAGGCCAGCTTGGCCACGATCACGGCCTTGAAGGTCAACAGGGCCAGGAATCCAAGCACCAACGGAATGACGGCGAACAACTTAGCGCCAATGGCGAGAGCCACGGGTCCCAGCATCTTCTTGATCTTGCCGCGGCCTATGAAATATTGTTGTGTAATTATTATGTATTTTTGGGGGAAAGTTTGACAGGCAACACCCACCTTCATCGAGGGCACGAGCCACCTGCTGGGTGGTCTCAGCGGGCAGCTTGAACTCCAGGTTGTGGCTGCCCAGGAAATCGGCGGCACTGGAGATGGCCATGTCCACCAGACGACCAGTACGCTCATCGGCGTTCTGGGGCAGCTCGGCATACACATCCTGTTCGCTCAGGGACTTTCCAGTGCGGGACACAGGGCTGGCGGGATCTCTGCAGGAAGTGAGGTAATTGCGAATTTTAATTTAAATACGAAACCACTTAGATATCATAACTCCTCTTAAAATTTTCAAAGTTATGTAATTGAGATAGGCTAAGATACGCTTAAGTTAAAAATCTATTTTAAATCCGTAACGTTTTCGCACCAATTCAATGTCTATATATAGATTTATGAAGATTTCATAAGCTTTCCATCTTAGGTTTTATAAATTCTGAAGAAACGACATAAGTATTGTTTTGTGTTAATTTTACCATCCTAAATAGCTTGAAATCTGTATAATTTATCTACGCTTGAAAACCTGACAAATTAAACACTTCTTATAAACTAATATCTGGGAAACTCCTATAAATTGTTTGATTTTTGTGATTAGTGCTTTAAAAATATAGGAAGTTATAACTGATAGCACTGGGATAAAGCTAATAAAATAATATTAACTATTTTTGGACTACGTAATGTAAGCCAGTTTTGATCTACGTGACAACTAAGTTTCTTTTTGAACTAGCTTTCTTGTAAGATAACTCGTAAGCTTTATGATGCAACCACTTGAACTACAAAACACTCATTCAAGATTTAGTCAGGCACATTTCGATTTCGTTTTCATTTTCACGTTCGGTTATGTTTGTTGTTTCAAGAACTAGGGGGCGGGCACTTTCACTATAGGCAAACACACACCTCTGGAAGGTGACTCCGCTGGCCAGCTCGATGTTGTTGCTCCTGGCGGCGCGATTGAGAGCGGTGATGCCCTTGACGGCCAGGCAGGTGGCCATGTCGTCGCTCTCCAGGCAGGCGCCCAGATATCTGGCGGCCCGGCCCAGGGTATTGTCGCCCTCGACCCGATTGTCTTGGACACTGGGGGCGGCAAAGGCGCAACTGGCCGCCAAGAGGGTCACACAGGTGATGGCAAACACTTTCATTTTGGGTTAATTCGCGGTTAATCCTGGCTGTAAAGCTGATCCGGCTGCTGCTTCTCTTCGGGAGCGCTGAGATGAGTTTGATGTATGCGTCTCCGGACATCTAGCCTTATATATTGGGCCGCCGGCTGCAGCCGCTCAGCCGCTCGGTCGGCGTCGCAGTCGGTGCGCATTACAAAACAATTTAAAAGTTAAAAGTAAATTAAATAAAAGCCGGCGAGAGACGGCGGAAGCTACGCAAAGACGCGAAAAGAGCGCACTCCGAATTGGAGACCGGGGCCCAAAAAAGAGTCGCTGCCCCAGACGCAGACGCATAAATCTAGAGAACGGCGGAGAAATAAAGTCAACTTGTTTGTTAAGTGAACATGTTCATTTCGGGCTGCCTTTTTTTCGGCAGCGCCGCTCCGGCGACGTCGTCATCCGTCAACGTTAACGTCGCGGAGAGAGAAACTTGTACTTGGTCTTGGTCTTGCCCATTGGGCGAAAAGGGGCGCCCTGGTGTAAACAATCGGCATCATGGCTAAGGTCTGCACAACAAAAAATCAGTTATCTCAGTCTTAACATATCCAAATTGCCCTTAGTCATCACTTAAAACTAAATTCCTATGAACACTATAAAATATATATAGTAAACAAAACATTTTCCATAAATACATTACACCAAGGAATAAGCTAAATTATATTCTAACAATCAACATAGTTTGAATCTTTGATGTCCATATAATCAAATTCTTATTTGGATGTAGCACATTGTAGTGAATTTTAGTCAACTTAGACTACTTATTCAAAAAAAAAAAAAATACAAAAGTTTCTTATTGACAACTTTGTTATTTTTACAGCCTATAAACAATATTGAATTTAAAACTTATAACTAAAGGATTTTGTTTTTAGAATTATACTTTCAGAGCCGAAACTTCAAGCTTTTAACTAGCTTCTTTTATAATAAGTTTCGTTCATATAATCTTACTAAAAAATAAAAATTATAATTAAATGTAAAATTCCTTAAACCAATTAAAGAAAATTTAAACAAACAACCAGAAGCGTGACAAACAACAAATAATATGAAAATGAACAGATAATTAATTAGAATGTGATACATAAATATAAATATATCTGTCATGGGAGGTTATCTGTCATGAGAGGTTATCTGTCATATAGGGAAGTAATTTGGGCTAAGAAAGGTAAAAAACTTATCATTTTCCCTCCGTGTATGTGGTCTAAACTTGGGCATGGTCTTTGGTCTTCGGGGTCCGATACACACACGCCCTCAATGAGGCTGTGTTTACCAGAGTCTGAGTCTGCGTTTGTCCGCGCCTTCGCGTTTGCGCTTTCATCCGACTCTCGCAATACCCAAGCCACATATTTGCTAATTTATTGACGCTTCTTAACCGATCCGGTTGCCGTATATTTCACGCAGCCCATTTATGAGCGCGAAAATGTGTTTTTTTCTTTCTCCAGCATAAATGGGTCATTTTTATTTGCCGTGGTTTTTGTTGTCACTGTTAGGATATGGTGAAATAGTGTTTAGCACCTTCGATGATTGAACTGGACTGTGTGGCGAATGTGTCTATGTGGTAATAATTGAAAGTTAAGTGGTTAAAGTAGGTGGAGGTGAATGAGAAGCTCTTGCCGGCATTTATATAACAAGCTGAAAGGAATTGTGAAAGAGCAGTTCGAGGAACACACAAAAACATGACAAATATATTTTATTGCCCAAGGCAGAGTGTGTAGAACAAGATGATATTATCGTTGACCTTTTATTTTATCGATTTGCAGTGCTTAATTTACTTAAAAAGCCATGAAATATTTTACACAAATGTTTTACGTTTATCTAGTTATAACTACGAATCTACGATAATGAAAATTTATCTATTAATACCATGATCACAAACGGATTTAAAAACTTAGTTGTAATTTTTTTTAAAATAAATTATTATTGTAATTATTTAAAAAAAAAAAAAAAAAATTTGAAAAGGGGAAATCTCGGCAGATGGTTGTAATTAGTTGCATACATTTTTAAAGACATGGACCATTTAACAATGATGCTACTTTCTTTCATTTGTTCTTTTGCTGATTATACAAATTGCAGGAGTAAATAGTATACAAATTAAATAGTTAGACAGAAGTATAATAAAATTAATGCATGTCAAACTACACATTCATGATGGCCAGTAATATAAAATATTGTGAGAACTCACAGGCAGAATTAACTCATTTGACTTCATTCGAATTCTGCAAGCAAAGTACAAATAGTGCCTATCATTCGAATGGATCTGCACTCATTTACACAGCGAAATAGTTTCTCTGGCGACCTGAGACATTTATACAGGTCTATCAAGCGGCAGTGTGAACTTTTTGATTCATCCATTCAAAACATCCAGCCATCGATGATTTTCCCAGTCACGTTCTGTTTTCACGGCCTGCATTGTGACAGTTTATGTTGCCATCCGAGTTTCTCTGCTCGGCATTGCATCGTAAAATCTCGTGTTCCTGACAAAAGATCTCTATAAAATCGAAACAGCTTCAATTTTTGGCAGCAACAAAATTTGTATTTTTATTGTCCCTCAGCAGCTTATTAAAGGCAGTCCATTCAACGGAGGAGAAAAAAAGACTGCCTCACTCACTTTCATTTATATTACAACGAAATGCGACACTAAATGTTGCCTGCCCTCAATGTTGTTGTTCGTGTTTTTGTCGCTAGTGTTGTTTTGTTATTGTGTAGTCTTGCTTATTGTTATTGTTATTGCCGGCTGATTGTTGCTGGGCAAACCAGCCGCGGGCGTCGGCTTGTCACACGCTGCGTATGAGTGACGCGCCTTTATTTTCGGTTATTGTTTTAGCCGCGTAAAACGGCCAAAAGGCGGCCCGAAAAAAAAGAAAGTGTGCTAGGTATGCCTTATTGAGCATATTTCGCCCAGTGAATGATTCACTTGCTGCGCCAATTTGCATAGTTCCACGGACTCCAGATTGCATTGCTCTGGCGTTTCATTCATGATGATGAAGATGATGATACTTGGGGCCGCTGATAAACCGCATGCCATTGGCTTGGCTCATACGCGATCCAGTTTTTCGCCTTCATTCATTCATACGATTCGCGTCATCGTTTTCGTGAGTGAAAGTTATGTAATATTAGCGTGAATTTTGCAATCTGCAGGGCGCACTGCTAAACCGGATGGATCGACATCGGCATCGAAATCGACGGATAAATGTCTGGGGACCTCCAACGCGCAGCCAATAACGTATCGGGGTTTATTACCCGCCTAACTGTCAAATCAAACAAAATTTCTAAATGCCAATCAATAAACAATTTCTCTTTTCTTCGTTGCGGTTTTTGGGTTTCTGACTCCGAGAACTGTCAATGTTGCAGTGAAATAAATAGAATAAATTCCATGTCTTTTAAGACTGATTTAAATATAATGATGTTTGATGTATAATACTTTTAATAGAAAATTAGTCTTAATAAAGTTAATAAAAACTATCCTTTTAGGGTATCATTATTTAACAAAATCCAAATAAACTTAAGTTCTTTTAATAAAAGCTTTAAATTATTTTGAAAAGATCTGCATTATTTTAAGAACTGTAAAAGGAAAAATGTTTTTCTCTATATATTTTTTCCTTAATTATTGTTACTGGTAATTTTTAAGGCATTGATTGGCAAGACCAGCAAATTGAAAAGCAAACAATATAATCATTTCATCCATTTTTTCTATAATAATTTACAAACAATTTTTTTTTTGTAACAGTGGTAATGTTTTTCTCATAATATTGTTTCACTGTGTAATTTTATTTTGTGATAACCTTTCTCAATATTTTTCCCTCGAACCTGCCCTTCATTTAATGCGTTTCTGACACCAGCCTGGTGGCCATTTATTATTTACACAAAGTCAATTAGCTACGTTTCATTTGTGCGATTTTCGATTTGCGATTTGTTGCTGGCCGTCGCTCAATTAGCCGGCAACAAGTTGCCATAAATCGATAGCTCACTTTCCTCCTACTCTGGTGATGTGGGTGTGGCCGGTTGGCCGGATGGTCGAGCTCTCATTCGGTTCCATGTGCGTTTGCTTTTCAAATTAGCCTGCTCATTCCGCAGTCGAATTTTGAGGCTTTGCCGGCTCGTTTTTATACTTTTGGACAGCGTACGTTCTACTGACCCATTTGCGTGTGTTTTCATCGAATTCAGCAAACGGAATGCCATCGGCATTATTGGAATTCCAACACAGTGGGGGATACATAAATCTACGGAGCGTAGAACATTTTCTCAGGGTTTGTGTTGGGATGGGGATAGAAATTTATTTTGTTCGAATCAAAGGTCAAATATTTGAAATTGGCAGCCAAACCCTTACCCTTAAACGTGACCATTAAACACGAATTTTTTAAGAAATCACAAAACATTCTTTAAATAACTTTTTAAAAGAAGAAAAATTGATTAAATTCATTTAAAAATTGTTTTCATGGGAAAATATCTAGCCTGTGTCTGCAAGAATTTTACAAGAAATCCAAATAGAATAAAACCCACATTTGCAAATTTTTTATCATATTTTCATATGTTTTTTTTAATACTGCAGAGTGTAAAGAAATGTTCAATTGGTTTATACTGTAATTTTTATCAAAACATACAAATATAATTCATTGTAATTTCATTTCAATCAATGTTATTTTAAATGTTTAAATGTTAGGTTTATCTTTTGACCAGAAAATCCAAAATTTATTTCCTGTCAAGAGCCGCACAAAAATAATTCATCCCCGTCTGCAAACACAATAACCCGAACCACAGCCAAATTGTATATTTTTAAGCTTTTTGGGTAAAGCGCAGAAATACCAGCAGGTGAAATTGATTTTCTTTTCATTTGTGCAAATATGAAATGTCAATATTGTGCGTAGTCGTTTCTGTCATTGTCGCTTGGCTGAGAAAGTGCAGCGCCAACGCGAAGCGTTTTCCATGCATTAAGCGACTCTAACGTATAGTATTTTTGGCCCAAAAGGTCTTTTTTTTTGGGTCGCAACTAGTTATGTTATTTGCATTTAAAAAATTCATATCCATTACCTTTGAGGGCACAACCCGGTTCAAAGCCAAACGACATTCAATTTACTTTGCCA